GGTTCAGGACAGCACAGGGGGCCTTACCCACTGGATTTCCAGAGGACAAGAGCTACCAGATCTTTTCTACGAGACCACTGCTTCATCTGGACTGCTACCACCACCCTAGCTACAGAGTGTCAGGTTGTATTCTGACTCTGTCTGTGGTTTTCCTTTGTACTATTGCTTCTATTTTGGTTTTTTTTTTCCTATTAAATTGTATTTCTGACTTGGAGTCTCTCACTGGTTTGTTTTCCAACCATTCCATACCTGCAGTTTGGAGTGATGGTACAGCCAGCGCAGAGCTGCAGAGGTCAGGCTTGGGGCACTGGAGCCATAGGCATCTTTCAGAGCTCTTTCAACTAGGGCAATCCCTTCAAAATGGTGTTTTTTCCAGTACCTGCAGGAAAATAAATCTGTCATTACCCTCGGGACCTCTGCTGAATCACATCTATATTCCAGTCAAGCATGAAAGGCTTTCAGGAGCTGTGTGTGGCTCTTTGTAGCCTCTGAGGACTTTTGGGATCCCCCAGGGTAGGCCTGGAGGAAGCTGAGCCTAAAAACCACTCTGCAAAGCTCAGTCACACGCCACAGCCTCGGTCACATGTGCAGACATCATCATTGCACAAGCTTTGATCCATCCTGCTTCCCCTCAGCTGATTATTAGCATGTTTTTTTTATGTAACTGTTCCTGCTGCCTCTCTCCACTCATCTATCAGCTCAAAACATACCTGTCCCTGTAGGCTTGAGCCCAGTCATTCCCAAAAAACCTCCCCGTGGGCTGGCGCGTGTCTTTGTCCTCGTACTTGTACTTGCCAGTCAGCAGCCCTCCTGCAAAGGGGCAGCAGCACGTTTAGGGCTGGGCTGGCTCCTCCACAGCCCCCATTTTGTACAGTTTTGGGGTTTCTGCCCCTCCCCATACCTGCAAGGGGGTTGTAGGCGTAGAAGCGCAGCCCGTAGTGCCTGAGGCAGGGGAACAGCTCAGTCTCCACCTGGCGTGTGGTCGCGTTGTACATACCCTGCAGGGGGGCCAGAGGGACCCACAAAGTCAAACACCAGCCCCAGAACTGCAAATACTGCAAAAACTTGAAGTTCTGTACCAGGGGAGTGGCTGACTCGAGCACCAAACATGTACTTGGCTTTTTCTGCACAGTGACCTCACTCAGCTCTCTCATCACACGTGTCCTGAAAGGACTTCCCAGTTAACTGCAGCAGCTTCCCTTTCTGTGTGCCTAGCTGGCATGCTGAGGGCTGAGTCCAAGATCTGGGGCTCCCAGACCTTTCCCTGCAGTGACTGACCCTTGCTCTGAGGACACAGAGAACCATCCGTACGCTGCTCTGATCTGAACCCTCACATGATGCTCATTTGAGTCATCTCAGCCCCCACGAGACCTCCCAAACCACAGCAAGCCTCCACCTCTCACCTGGTACACAGTTGGCATCACCCAGTTGTTGTATTTGCAGATAGTGCAGATTTCTGCAACCTCCCACGCTGCATAGTTTGACAGACCAAGTTCTTTAAACTTTCCCTGCAGAGGAATAAAAAGGTGTTCAGTCCCAGGTTCCAAAAGTGAATTTGTGCCCAGATGGTGCAAGCTGCACACAGCAAAAAGGACAGTCACTGAATTTTAGTCGAGCTCTCCACATATCCCTGTCTTCTAGATGACTCTGAGTTACAAGACACGACAAAAGTATTCCCCCTGTTTTATATTAAATGGCACTATTCATTTAATGCAATTCAGGAATTCCTCTTCACCCATGACCAGCACTAATCTTCACCTAGTAGCTGACACGGCTGAAAGCAAAGTTCAGGTGTTTAACATTTGCCAGAGCTTTTGAGAACAAAGTGCACCAGGGAACACGCCGTGCAGCGCTACGTGTCTGGCTCTGCCCTGCCCATCTGTGCTCCCTCTTCCTGGTGCTGCACAAACCCAGCACTGCAGAAGCCCACAACCAGCACCCCTGGTTGAAAAAGGTGGTGGGAGGGAATGAAGGGATGGTCCAGGCTTGGACTTTTCATTTTACTTCTTTGTGCAGCTCATTGCAGGCACGCAGTGTCTCCTCCACGGGGGTCCCGTGGTCGGGGGCGTGCAGGTAGAAGAGCTCCACACTCGTCCTCTTCAGCCTCTCCAGGGAGGTGTCCAGCTGCGACCGCACGCTCTCGGGCTTCAGGGTCTTCCCATCCCAGGGGTTGGCCTTGGTGGCTACTTCCACTGGCAGAGACAAAGAAAGAATGAGCAGGGACAGTTCCACCCTCAGGAGGGGAATGGGGATAAGGGGTGTAACGCAAGCGTTGCTCAGGGGGGGTCAGGGAAGACCCTTCTCCTTGGGAACCATGTCTGCCTAGCAGGGGAGTCCCTTCCCCTCAGAGATTGTTACTGCCCTGGCAGGGAAAACCCTTCTCCTCACAGAACAAGCCTGGGAGAAGCCCCTTCTCGTCAGCCTGGCAGGGAAATCCCTTCTCCTCATGAAAAGAGCCCTGGGAAGACCCTTCTCCTCAGGTAACACGCCTAGCAGGGGAAGACCCTTTTCACTCAGGGACAGTGTCAACCTGAAATGAAAGAGGCTTCTCCTCTGGAAACAGGACTGGAGGAGAAGTCCTGTTTCCATAAGGAGAAGTCCTTTCCTTTCTCCTCATGGAAAACCCTTCTCAGGAAGTGAGCCCAGGGAAGATCCTTCTCCTCAGGGATGGTGACAGCCTGGCAGGGAAGACCCTTCTACTCAGGGAATAGACCTGAGAGCCAGGAATGGTGTTAGCCCAGCAGGAAAGACCCTTCTCCTCAGGAAACCCAGGGAAGGTCCATGTCCTCAGGGGGAAGCCCTTTCTTCTCAGGGATGGCTTCAGCCCAGGAACAAAGATCCTTCTGTTCAGGGAACAGGCCCAGGGAAGCCCCTTCTCCTCAGGGACGATGTCAGCCTGGCAGGGAAGACCCTTGAAGACCCTTCTCCATGGGGAATGGGCCCAGGAAAGGCCCTCGTCCACAGGTCTTCCCCCAGTCCTGTTCCCTTTCTTCTCATGGGAAAACCCTTCCCCTCAGGAAGCAGCCCCGGGGAAGTCACTTCTCCCCAGGGAACAGGCCCAGGGAAAACACTTCTCCTCAGGGAACAATGTCAGCTATGCAGGGAAGACCCTTCTCCTCAGGGAATGGGCCCCGGGAAAGACCATTCTGCTCGGGGAACAAGCCCAGGGAAGTCCTTTTCCTCAGGGATGATGTCAGCCATGCAGGGAAGACCCTTCTCCTCACCAAACAGGCTCAGAGAGGACCCTTCTCCTCAGGGACAAGGTCAGCCATGGAGGGAAAACCCTTCTCAAGAAACAGCCCCAGGGAAGTCACTTCTCCTCAGGGAACAGGCCCAGGGAAGTCCCTTTTGGGCCCCAGGGAAGACCATTCTGCTCGGGGAACAAGCCCAGGGAAGTCCTTTTCCTCAGGGATGATGTCAGCCATGCAGGGAAGACCCTTCTCCTCACCAAACAGGCTCAGAGAGGACCCTTCTCCTCAGGGACAAGGTCAGCCATGGAGGGAAAACCCTTCTCAAGAAACAGCCCCAGGGAAGTCACTTCTCCTCAGGGAACAGGCCCAGGGAAGTCCCTTTTCCTCAGGGACGATGTCAGCCATGCAGGGAAGACCCTTCTCCTCAGGGAAAACCCTTCTCCTCAGGAAAGCGGCTCAGGGAAAACCCTTCTCCCCAGGGACAAGGTCAGCCATGCAGGGAAAACCCCTCCCCTCAGGAAACAGCCCCAGGGAAGACCCTTCTCCCCAGAGACCGCCCCTCGGTCCCCTCCGCGAACCCCACAGGGACCGGCCCC